GTGGTGGCCCTGAGTGACACATGGGCTGGTAGCACCGTGGGTGGCAGCGCCCTGGGTGACACAGGGGGTGGCTCAGGGGACACGGGTGACACAGGAGTGGTGGTGTTGGGGTGCCAGTTCCTTGGATGCAGTGGCAGTGGCCGCACTCCAGCCGGTCCTGGCATGGCTCAATGTCACCTCCATGGACATGGGGACCTAACCTCCATGGACATGGGGACCTACCAGACCCCATGGACCTGGCTGTGCCACCTGCACCTCCATGAACACCTTGGCTTGATCCCAAAGGCTGCATTGACCAGACCCCCATGGCCTTGTTGTGTAGACTCCAACAATGTGATGACCAACCCTCCATGGGCACAGGGAGAAGACCTCATTAGACAGCTGTAGACATGTTAGGTAGACCCCAATAGATGCCTGACTGTACCTTCATGAACATGTTGATAGATCCCAGTGGACGTGTTGACCAGACTTCCATGGACGCTTTGACCAGACCTCCATGGACACATTGACCAGACTTCCATGGACACATTAATCAGACCTCCACAAACATGTTGAGTAGACCCCAACAGATGCATTGACCAGAACTCCATGGACCAGACCTCCATGGACGCGTTGACCAGACCTCCATGGATGCGTTGACCAGACCTCCACAAATACATTGAGTAGACCCCAACAGACACATTGATGAGATCTCAGTAGGAACCTTGACCATGGATGATGGACAAGCTGGAGTTGCCTGTGCTGGAACCCAATGTGGCAGCCCACCACAGCTGATGGCCACCAAGGTGGGACCTTCCAAATCAAACCTTCTCCATGGGCTGCTCAAAGGTGGTCGAACCTTCCCGTGAAAGGCTGAGCAAGAGCTGGAAGTCACCAGTGGCCACCGTTGGCCCCGGGAGTGACAAGCAATCGTTTCTCCACCTCCCTGGGGATTTGGACCTGGACCAAAGCTTCTTTCCCCACCGCGGCGGCCAGACAAGGCCCACACCCTCCAACGCGCCGGGCCTCGGCCACGTGGGGGAAGAGGGAGGGTGACGCCTTGCGCAAGGTGACCGGCGTCGCTCCCTGCCCCGCTGAGCCACGGGGGACGACGCGTGACGGCGTGACCTTGCCAGGTCTCCTCTTGCATCGGGGAAGGCATCGAGGCGTTTTTGCAACCCACCAACCCCTCCACCGCGTCCTGTAGACAACGTCACGGTGAAGCCGGGCTGGCGCCGTTCTCCATCCCACCCCCCACCGCCAAGATGGGACCACGATGACCTCATGGAAGGGAAAAAAACCTCATCCACCCGCCCCCCAAAATAGAGGCCTCTGGTCCATGTGAACGGGTAGATTTGGCCTCCAGCGGGTGATTTCTTCTCGTGGCCTGGGTGGATGCTCCTCGTCGGGGAGGTGAAACAACCCTGATCTGCTGCCAAGTTACCCCAGGTGGGGAAATTTGGCCCCTTCTGTTCTCGCTGAGTCACGGGGAAATTTCTCCCCTCTGGGGATGGGAAGTCCTCTCCTGGTCACACGTTGGTCCATGAAGATGGGGTTGGGATGGAGGTATCAAGAAGGAGGCTCTGGTGCCGGGGCATTGAAAGGGTTTGTTGCTCTTTGGTGGGGACACCAAGATGGATTTTGACACCCCCCCCCTCCCCTCCATGGTGGTGCAAAGGGCCCTGGGGTGACCCCAAACCAACCAACAGATCTGTCCCATGGTGTGGTCACCAGGTCTAGGTGCAGTAGGGTCAACGGATCTACGGTCATAGGGTCAAAAGGTCTAATTCGTGGTGGTCTACCCTATGGTGGGACCATCAGATGTGGCCCATGGTGGGGTCACCAGATCAACCCCATGATGGGACCAACAGATCTACCCCAAAGATGGTGAGTTGAGTCTTCTCCTGCCCCTATGAGATCTGGGGCAACTCGGGACACCTTGACCTGCGTTCCACCCGATTAAGACATGGTGAAAAGCGACGTCAAAAAACTTTATTCATCAACATCTCAACAAGGAGGTCCCAGTGGTCAACCCCTGCCCTACCCCCTAGGGCACGTGCTCCAGCGCTCGGACCGGCCGGCTCTGGGGACCTTCATCAGGGAGGAAGAAGAAGAGCTGTAGGGTCCATCTCGTGGTCATCTGGGGTTGGGGATGGATTGGGGATGGGGCTTCAATTCCTTCTCATGGTGTCCTGGAGCCACCGGGTGTATTTGCAGAGGTTGACGTAGACGCCAGGTTTTTTGGGGTCCCCGCAGATGCCCGGACCCCAAGACACGATACCCTGGAGTCGCCCGTCGCACATGAGGGGTCCACCGGAGTCACCCTGATGAAGTAAGAGGGAGAAAGCGTGGGGGGTCTGGGACTCACGGCCCACCCCAAAGAATCACCCCAAATTTGAAGCCGTTTCAGGGTTGGCTTGGTATCTCCACCCACAAAATCCCACCAAGGAGATGATGTCCTCTCCCATCCCTGAGCGACATCTTCTCAACTCCCACCCTGCTTACCCAAATCTTCTCTAGGTGCTGCCGGCTGCACCGAGTTGTGCCCGTTCTCAGCCCAAAACTTTCCCTCGTGGGACCTCATCGAGGTGACCTCATCTAGGACCTACCTGGCAGGAGTCAGCCCGGCTGCGGGACTCGCCCGCGCACACCATGTTGGAGGTGATGGAGTCAGGGTAGATGCGCCGGCACTGCTCCTCGGAGACAATGGTGACCTTGGTGCAGTGGAGGTCCTCAGGGAAGGTGACTATGGGTGATGGAGGGCATGAGGTCACCCGTGAGACGCAGACCATGTGACCCAGCTTGGATCCCTCGTCCTCTTTGCCCTGGAACTCATCCCCCCGCCCTCTTCTTCTTGTTGGCACCAAGAAGGAGCTCCAAGGCTTTCTGGTATCCTGACCAGGTCACCCCCAATCCCTGGGTTCCCTCAGGGATCAAAGATGGGACCAACGGGCCCGAGAAGGGGATTTTTGGGGGACAGGACACACATCTGGAGGTTAGCAGTGCACCCCAGATGTCTGGGTCTCCAGGTGACCGGCTTCATACCTTCAGGGCTGGTGGTGGACCCCCAGCCTGAGATCTGGCAGGTCTTGCCGGGCACGGGGCAGTGGGAGGCCAGCGGCAACGGCTTCACTTGCTTGGTGATGTGGATGGGCAGGAGGAACTTGATGAGCATCAGGTCACCGTCCTTGTTGGTCTCATTGTAGAGCGGATACCTGAAGACCTTGGCCGAGTATCGCTGCTGCTTGGTGTCACCTGAGTCCTTATGGCTTCGGCCTCCCAGCCGCACGCTGATCAAGCTGATGGAACCAAAAGCATCAAGGTTGGTGGCATGGGGACAGGATGGGGTGGCATGGGGACAGGTGGCGTGGGGATGTCCATGTTGGACACAGGGGGCCACCGGGAACCACACAAAGCAGGGGCAGCGTCAGAGCCGTGGTCCCAGAAGGTGGTGAAGCCCACTGAGATGCCATCAACCCTCCCAACCTGATTGGCTGGAAAACAGGACCCACCAGGTGCCACCCAGGACCAATTTTTGGTTGATCTCAACCCATCGACACCAAACCCACCGGGCACCGCTGCCCCTGTGGCCTCCTACCCCGGGACGTGGCAGTGGGCAGCCGTCAGCACCCAGTTCTTGTCCACCAACGTCCCCCCGCAGATGAACTTCTCGCCTTTGAAGAGGGCAGCCTGCCAGGGCAGGTCGCAGGAGGTCCCCTCGATCACCCACAGGACGTTCCTTGAGGCTGTGGGGACAAAGGGACAAGGCACAGGGGACACGGGTGGTCCAGAAGCTTCTCTGATGTCACCCACCACGGGAACATGGGACACGGGTAGGTTGGGAGCCTCTGGTGTGGCATGGTCACCCCTGGTGGCCCCATCCACATGTCCCCCGAGTCGTGGACAAGGAGGTTAATCGGTGATGGAGGAGGCCAGTCCGTCTTGGCAGAGACCAGGAGGTCCATGGGGTGGACGGAGGACACCTGGGACAGATGGAGGTCCCATGGGTGGACATGGGACCCATTGGGGGGGCATGAGGAGTTGTTTGGGCGGCTGTGGGGTCTCAGGTATGGTTGAGGAGCACCCAAGGTGGGTCCCATGAGTAGATATGGGGTGTCTGGGGCGGTTGGGGGGACACCCACGACAGACAAAGGTGGACTCGGTGGTCCCACAGGTAGACGTGGTAACCCTTGGGTGGACACAGGGGTCCTGCAGATGGCTGTAGGTGTCCCGCAAGTGGACGCAGGTCACCCAAGGTAGATGTTGGGGTCCCACAGGTGGACATGGAGGTCCTTGAGGAAGACATAGGGCACCTAGAGCAGATGTGGGGGTCTCTGGGGAGGACACAGAGGTCCTACAGGTAGATGTGGGGCACCCGAGGTTGACACGGGGGTCCCACAGGGGGACACGGACATCCCATGAGTGGACATGAGGGTCCCATGGGTGGACACAGGGGTCCCAGGTCATCTCCTACCTGTGGCTACCAGCGCCAGGAGCAACACGAGCAGGACCTTCATGCCGGAGGGCCGGAAGCTGCGGGGAGACGGCGAGGGGGTGAGTCGGGAAGTGGGTGGCCCGTGGCAGGGTGGGGGTCTGGGTGGGGGTCAGGGTGGGGACGTGGACCTTTGGGG